ATAGATGCCAGAATTCTCTCCAGAGTTACTAATTTATTTATTGTGAAAAAGCCTATTGAACTTAAGCTGGATGACAGAAAAGAACTGGTTATTAAGGTAACTATAACTTTTGAGTTTATTACTGTGTGATTATTTGATAGATCTGCATATCACATATTTTATGTGACATTCTTCAGTTTGTGTATGTCCTGGGGAGGGAGAGAAGTGTGGTGATTCAGGGCTAGATTGAAATTGTGTTCTGGCTTCATTGGGCTTCTGGATACATTTATTTATTGAACAAATATTTCTACTATATGCCAAGCATTATGTCCTTTTTAATTTAGTATATACACTGGAAGTGCAAATTATTTGGAATAGTATCTCTTTTTTGTTTTTGAAACAGGGTCTAGCTCTGTCGACCCGGCTAGATTGCCATGTCGTCATCATAGCTCACTGCAACCTCAAACTCCTGAGCTCAAGCGATCCTCCTCCCTCAGCCTCCCTAGTAGCTGGGACTACAGGCAGGCACCACCATGCCTGGCTAATTTTTTCTATTTTTTGTAGAGATGGGGTTTCATTCTTGCTCAGGCTGGTCTTGAACTTCTGATTTCAAGCGATCCTCCTACCTCGGCCTCCCAGAGTGCTAGGATTACAGGCATGAGCCACTGCACCCAGCCTGAATAGTATGTTAAGTACAACATAAGGCAAAACTAGTGGAAAGAAATTTTGTGATGACTTTTAAAAACAAATATCACTAACATAAAAACTATCAGAAATTCTTCTTGTTTTTATGTTGGAAATTGCCTATAATTGCCAAAAAGGAAAAGTTTTTATGACCGAAGTTTCAGCTTCTTCATTATAAGAGAAAAAAATAATATAGGAGGCAAAGGCAATTTCTCCTTCTCTTAAATGTTACAATAGTTCTGAGATATTCTTTGTTAATCTCTTTTCTAAATCTTTGGCTCCTTATATACCTTCGGAGGTTTATCATCTAGTTCCCTGTCTTTAGTCAGGTTTGCACCTGTATCGTACTGGACCAATGCAGAATTTTATAAAGAAAGCTGTCCGTTATCTTCATTGATTCATTCCTGTATTTTATAGCTTCTTTTTCACTTCAAGTTTGCAATCTGTCAGGTTTTATTTAAGTTTAGTTCACCAAAGTGTGTAGTAGTACTTCAGAGCCATAGGTAATACAATGTTTTTTTATGGAAAAACACATTTAATCTTCTTACCTAATTGTTCAGGGCCATGTGACAGCCCTGGCAGAATTGGAGAATCTTCCACTAGCCACATACCAGGTCTGGCTGGAGACTCCCTGAGTACTAAGCCATTGGCAGTCACTCCTATGCCTGTGTATGGTATGGAGGAAGACGGAGAGGGAGCATTCTGGTACTGCCTTCTTTGACTCTGTATTAGGGCTAAAAGACAGCAGTGGTTAGGAGAAAGAAAGAGGGTCATTTTTGCTCCTTTTCCTATTGCAAGTTTTGCCACCTCAGACTCTGACCTGGCATGGAGTAAAAGGGACTAGTATGGGGGTGGCTCTGTTGGGGTGCCAGCCAGCAAGTCCCAGAGTGTTGTCTGTTCTGGGGTCTTTCAAGAGGTGGAAGGGAGGGGGGTCATGGGAATTCCAGCTGGTGGCTTTTAGCAGCAACAGGGAAATCTTGAGTTTAGGTCTGGGTTGCTCTTCTCAGGGTAGCCTGGTACTACCTGTAGAGATGTTAGGGAACATGGATGTTTTCTGTGTCATTTTTAAGGTGACTAATGGATTAATCGGTTATGAATGGCTTCCTAGCAAAAATGTATATTAAGAAGAGAGGTTTATTTGACATGGTGGCTCTTTATTTTAGATCCTAAGTACCTCCCTGACCTAGCACATCATTGTTGCAAATTACATGTACATATTATTGGTTATTTAAGTAAGTTGACTTTTTGAGCTTTTGTTCTTAAGGCACAAACTATAAAATTTTATTGGAGGATTGGGAACAGATGAAAAGTCTCATTATTTTGTTGTTGTTTGTAGTTGGAGACTGTTGAAAAGGTATATGAAATCTTCACCTCAGATGATGTTGATCTTGTTTTGAGAAAGTCAGCCGCAGAACAGTTAGCTGTGATTATGCAAGGTAATGTCTTTTAAAGAAAATGATTGCTGTACTGCTG